TGTTCTTCTTGTTCTTGTTCTTCTTGTTCTTGTTCTTCTTGTTCTTGTTCTTCTTGTTCTTGTTCTTCTTGTTCTTGTTCTTCTTGTTCTTGTTCTTCTTGTTCTTGTTCTTCTTGTTCTTGTTCTTCTTGTTCTTGTTCTTCTTGTTCTTGTTCTTCTTGTTCTTGTTCTTCTTGTTCTTGTTCTTCTTGTTCTTGTTCTTCTTGTTCTTGTTCTTCTTGTTCTTGTTCTTCTTGTTCTTGTTCTTCTTATTCTTTTTCTTCTTGCTCTTCTTATCTTCTTGTTCTTCTTGTTCTTCTTGTTCTTGTTCTTGTTCTTCTTTTCTCTTTCTTTCTTTTTTGTTGTTGTGTTATAAGACAAAATTAGTAAATCAATATTCATGAACGTTTCTAGTAAAGTCATTCCCTAGGTTATCATTAAGTTCCACAACTGCGTTCTTGTATTAATAGAACTTATGTTTATTTTGACATAATCTTGATTAGATATAAAATATGACATCTGTTTTGTAGACATCGTTTCGTTTAGCTGTTTAACGTTTACTAGTATTCCAATACATTTATCTTGTTCTTCTTGTTCTTGTTCTTGTTCTTCTTTTCTCTTTCTTTCTTTTTTGTTGTTGTGTTATAAGACAAAATTAGTAAATCAATATTCATGAACGTTTCTAGTAAAGTCATTCCCTAGGTTATCATTAAGTTCCACAACTGCGTTCTTGTATTAATAGAACTTATGTTTATTTTGACATAATCTTGATTAGATATAAAATATGACATCTGTTTTGTAGACATCGTTTCGTTTAGCTGTTTAACGTTTACTAGTATTCCAATACATTTATCTCGAACATAACTTAGGTTCCTATTTTTATAGATTTTCTACACTGTCTTGCTTAGCGTTGTGTACCCTAACTAAGCCAAAGTCTAGTTACAGCTTGTGACTCTTTAGTTGTCACTTCCATTTAATTTCTTCTCTTTAATTTCGAATATTCCATTAAGCTGTCAGATCAAGAACTATAGGTTTGACAGTATAACGAGACTACAAGGCAGCTTATTTCAGTTTCCACATTTTAATCTAGGATATCCCCACGTGTCTAATATTACACCAATTTCAGATAAACTCCTCCCTTGTAACCCTACACCTCAATACATACCCCAAAACGCCCTTCGTTGGTTTGGAGCCTTGTAGCACCGTTCATTTTTTGTATCTTTATAATACAACTTGATAGCAAGTTAGTTCTCTGTTAGAGCTATCTTCTGTCTTAGTTTCATCTTTAAATTTAACTTAAAACTATGTCGGGGCATAGCCTTTTCTCGCTCAACCTTAGCTGAACACCTTATTAGTAAATCAAACTTTAGTACGTCAAGCTTATACTCTATCCAATCGTATTGCAATGTAGCCTGCCAATTTGCTGTCACCCTGACTTGTAAAACATTCACTATATATAGGTAGATTGACATCTCAGGTTAGTTGGTAGCTAAACTCAGTGTATACAACATCTTTTCAAGTTTAGTATTAAATATATTTTGATCCAGTACCGGCTCTTCCTGAGTAGATCCCACAAGTTACAAGACAAGAACCCCTGTAACAGTTGTACTGTTTTCAGTAAAAGGTTGTCCTTCTGCATGCTCCTCGGTGATATTTCGACATCGTTTGATCTTCAATATTTTTCTCTGTTTTTCCTCATAGATCTTCTTCTATTACTTCTTCTTCTTCAGTTTCTTCTTCTCGGGTACTTCTCTTTCGTTTTCCTCTTTACACCTGCAGAAATCTTTCCGACCTGATTTTATAGATCCGACTTGTAGTTCACGATAAGTGGCTTTGATTGTTTCCACTTATCATGAGTGTGAATACGCATTCCCACTTATGGTAACCTACAATCACGACGTCATCGTCATTTGCACTTACTATAAGGGCAAAGCCACTTACTATAAGGGCAAAGCCACTTACTATAAGGGCAAAGCCACTTATAATTAGTGCGAAAACAATGAAATATGTCATTGTAAGTGACAATTCGAACACGTGATATGACTATCACTTATCATGAGTGCTTACAGGCTTGATTTTGTAAGATATCTACTGCTGTACTACATATATGTATATACGAACATTTCACGATCTGACGATTTAACTTACAATTTAACCTGTCTTGTTATCGAACTGATTTGTTATAGAATTTTCGCTCCAGTGTATACTAGTGTATCACAAAGAAGCTTTGCATAATTTCCAACTCATTTACGAATTATGATAAACAGCTACAGCCAAAAAAC